TGTTAATGTTTAAAATTTTTAAAAGGAATTACGAAATGATGATAATATTCAGCGTAGAAACTCCATAACACAAACATTACTGACCAATTTATTATAAATTGGATTGCTTATCTGTAACTCGAACAGTTCGTTGTGATGAGCAAAATTGATCTTGGTATTGCAAGACTTTTTTTATACTAGCAACACCAAAAGACCAAGACTGAGAACAAACGAACCAGATCAAGACTAAAACCAACACCAAAAACAAAATACGCAAGACTACACGAAAAATTATAAACTATTTGAAACTTTAATAGATTCTTTTAATAGAACGAAACATTTTTAGTATTTGAAATTTTCTTTCTTTTATATTATACAATTTGAATTATCAGGTAGACAAAATGGAAATCAATTACTGTCCAATACATCTCTATAATGAATTTTCTTTTAAGAAAATAATACATTACATTCGAACACGAAATAGAAAACGTTTTATTTGGGCGATAAAATTGCTTTAATACTGCTGCTGCTCTTTGATACTCTATAAAACGAAATTTCATTACAACGAAAGAAAATACCCGTATCTTGAATTTCACAACATGTATGTAGGTATAGAGCATTTACTTTGTGCTTACTTATATTGCTTAATAAGAAGGTCTTTCGAAAAAACAATAATAATTTTTGTCACACTTTTGTGGTGTGGTAGCAAATATTACGTTTAGGGACTGTTTTCTTTTTCTTATAAAAAAGTCTTTGATAACTTTCGAACTTATCTAGATCGACTTTCAATAGTATCAGTAACTGAGTTAGGAAGAATATAAAGACAGAAATGTTAGAGACGCCTGACCCAAATTTAGACAATGATAAATAAATGTTAAAAATCCTACACATTCTGGAGTCTTAGAGAAAAAAAATCTACGTGCTTTTATTGGCTAGTCGTATTGAGTTGTAGAGGGATAGATATTATTTTCTGAAGGATGATTCGGTCCAGTTCTACGCATACGTTTTTGATCCTTATATGATGTTTTAAGCAAAATATAAAACACATATATACATATAAAATATTTTTTTTGGCCATCCTGTATAGTTAATGCATTATTCTCACTTATTATAAATATAAATGAAGAAACAAAAGATGCTTGAAGAAGTTACACCTAATTAGGACACATTATTTTTCTTAATTATGTTTATTTAAATTTTAAATTTAAAAAACTATCAGGTCTAAGAAAAATGTTATAATTTAAGCCACAACAGAAGATGATTTAAGAGAACAGTTCCTAGAACTATTTATTTTGGGAGAAAAAGGAAGTTACAGCAAAAAATTGTTTAATACCTGGGATGTTCTTGAATCATACATTACTTGCATGTTTTTGTATGGAAATACATTTATTATAGGAGTGGATATTGGAAACGTAAGTTGGTTTACTTATTTTGATAAAGCGGTGCTCAAAAAATAACACTGTAATTATATATTTTAGATTTATTTTTACCACATCAGTTCATGGAAAGAGTTCGATATTCGTAATTATCAAAAGAAAATGATAGTTGGTAGACATCCTATCAATGGGATTGATGTAAGAGAAGACAGTCACCAAAGAAAATTTTATGTTCATTCCAGCTTTAAAGTTCATGAAATAACAGGATTAAGAGTAAACGATTATCAGTATGATTTACATTGTGGTGTTTAAAATGAGTCAATGTACTTAATACATAATATTTTTCTTCATTTATACATGTAGAGATGCATTATAAAGAAACAAATATGTACCTAAGAACGATATGATAAGGAAAAATAGTTTCTAATTTGATAAGGGTCATTATTTAAATATGAATAATTTATTATTTTCATGTGGAATTAGAAAGTCATGCTTTTGATTACTTGTAAGGCCAAAAATAATGAATAGGATCGATAATGATACGAAAATGGTCCCCAAGCAGGGAGTTTAATAAGTTATCTAAAAAAATTATTATGTTTCGTTCAGAGTAAATTATTCATATTTGTCGTAATGTTAATAAACTGTTAATAATAATATGTTTAGGTTGATTTTAGACTGAACATGTGTGTATTGTTTATAATTAATATATTTGTGATCTATTTTTGTTTATGGCTGTTGCTGTTGTTTCAAGGAGAATGGGGAATTGTTTTAAAATTACTCAGATTTATGATTTGTTGGCAGTGTTCCTGCTGATTTGCATTTTTTACGTACTATAAACATTTCAAAACTGACAGGAATGTTTGTACCCATTCAAAATTCTCTGTGTACATAGCTACAGAAGAATGCAGTAGTGTAATTTTATAGAAAATGCAATATTGGTAATATATTCGCTTTTAGTTTTAGCATTTTACCTAGATCTAAATTTAAAATAGCTGTTTGTTGCCGGTCAAAAACAAAAAAATTTATGTGAATCGTCCTCTGTTATAAAAATGTAGCTTTTTATATTTTTTATACTTTTGGCTGTGTCATTTGTCATAAGAAAATAAAATTATTAATCACAGTATTGACTTTTTCTTACTTTTATTGTTTAATATTTAAAATTAAATTGGAAAAGTGATAACAGACGAGTGCACGAATATCTATAATTTATATTGTACTTACTTAATTAACAATTCAAATGAAGGGTTTCGGTAGTCAACGTTTATTAAAAACGAGTGCGGGACGACTGGTTACACGGCTCACGCATACGTGACAAA